GGTCTATTAAAGGGGAGAGATTAAAGAACAAGAGGATAGTAAAGAAAGATCAGAAGCAAACAAAGGGACAGGGAAGCAGGTAAGGTGGGCTTCTCTGAAGCTTAGGAGTTGATCATTAACTTTGTGTGGAACCAGGTGTGCAGCACTGGAACAGTGTGGTATGAGCTGTGTGCCCAGCCCCACAGTGGGTCAGTGTCTTACATCCTAGAAGGGATGGGAAGGAGTATACTGGGTTACAAGTGAAGGCACCCGGAATCTTGTCAGGACTAGCTACAGGTTAGGAATAAACAGTGAGATGACTCTGCAAGGTTCGTATGTTGAATGATTCATTCTTATCCCACAAAGTTATTTTTTTTTAGACAAGACTTTGCTATGTGCTTGAGGATGGCCTTTTACTCACTGTGTAGCCCACGCCATGAATAGTTAAGGTCTGTGTCTTATCCCAAGTGTACTCCTTGCTCCCACTTTTTACCATGATACATGGTTGCTTTTCAGTACTGTTGAGCAGAAATTCTTTACATTTGTGACACTTGGGATGGAGCAAGGCCTGATGATCTAGTTTTGTCTGCAGTGTTAGTGGCTTTTACAGTTGTGCACAGCTGACTCTTTCTTTGTTCCCAGTGGCTTGTCAACTTCTTTGGCTCCTTGTCAGTGGAGGATTCTCTGGAACCCATAGTGATCCTCCTGCCTCAGCCTCCTGAGTGCTGAGATTATAGGTGTGCACCTCCACACTGGCTCCCATGGAGTTCTTATTGAGATAAAATTAAGCCTCATCATAGGGGTTTAGTTTAGGGGCATAAGTGCCTGCCTGCCAAACGCGAGATCATGTGTTTAATTCCCTAGCACAAAAATAAATAAATAAAGCCTCATCAAAATTCTTTCCAGGAGTTGGTGCAGTGGGACCTCTAGTCCCAGCTACTTGAGTGGCTGAAACAAGAGAATTACTTGAACACAGTAGTTCAGGGAAGCCTACGGAACATAACAATGCACTGTCTCTGTTAAAAAAAAAAAAACAAAACAGTAGGAGGACATGGTGGTGTGTGCCTATAATCCCAGCACTCTGGGAGGCTGAGGCAGAAGATTTCAAATTCAAGCTTAGCCCAAGCAATTTAGTGACTTAGCAGGACACTGGATTTAATCTTCAGTACTATAAAAAATTAACTATAAAAAGTAAGGAGTGTATTTGGTTAGGAGTGTATTTGGTTTGGTTTGGTTTTTTGTTTTTGTTTTTGTACCAGGAACTGAACTCATGACTTCACTTGTCAGGCAACTGTTGTGCTGCTAAGCTGTATCCCCAGCCAGAGTGTTTGTTTTTTAAGCACTCACAATTCTGCCTTTAACTCAATATCAAGTCTAGAGAACACAAATATGATTTGTTACTTTCAAATCTAATTCCAACTGTTCCTTGTCTGAAGATTGAGCTCATTAAAGGATAGCTTGATATACTTGAATCTTCACACTGATCTTGCCATATATAACCTTAATTTAACATGATTGCATGCAGTCATGAGTTCTATCCCTGGTACTGATAAAAAAAAAAAAAAGACTCTCAAATTGCCCATCTTTAGCACTGTGGGCCCAGCCAGCTCTGCAACATGGGAAGACAGACCCTTATACAAAGGACTGAAGCTGACTTGAAGGATGGCTTTGCTAACGACTTGCAATATTGCTGCTTCTGCTGTGGAAGAAGCATGGATGGGCAATGGTTCCAGAGCTGTACTCTACCCTAGGGGGCATGATTGAGCAGCTGCTATTAAAAAGTTGTTACCACCATCAGGCTTTCTTACTAAAGTTGCTATTTCACAGGTTGCAGACGCCATCCTTGGGAATCAGATGTTTACCCATTATGATCGGGCCCACATTGCCCAGCTCTGTGAGAAGACAGGTCTCCTGCAGAGGGCGCTGGAGCACTACACTGACCTCTATGACATCAAGAGGGCTGTGGTCCATACTCAACTCCTCAATCCTGAGGTATAGTGTACTGGAGCACTTCCCTTGTGGCTAACATCTGTATAATCCTTCATGTCACATGTTCTTAATATCTATTTGGGATTTTGGGACCAGGTGTGGGCCTGTATGCTTTTCTACCAAGAGTTCAGATAGACCCCACCTGCCCAGCAGTGTGTCTAGGCCCCATGTCAATTTTCCCCCAAATTCCCACCTCTGTCTTAGTCCAATAGGAAGAATAGAGATAATATTTTAACACTGAAAATCTGTTAGCACTTTTGAAACGGTTAGCAAAAGCTAGACTAGCCCTTGTGTTTGCATTTACCAAATAGTTTCAATATCAACTATGAATTATTCCAGGATGAATAGTTTAGTTATATCTTATCCCAAGTGTAGTCCTTGCTCCCACTTTTCACCATGATAGATGGTTGCTTTTCAGTCCTGTTAAATAGAAATTCTTTACATTTGTGATACTTGGGATGGAGCAAGGCCTGATGACATGGTTATGTCCCCAGTGTTAGCAGCATTTACAGTTGTGCACAACTACATACAGACTCCTTCGTTCCCAGTGGCTTGTCAACTTCTTTGGCTCCTTGTCAGTGGAGGACTCCCTGGAATGTCTTCGTGCCATGCTGTCTGCTAACATCAGACAGAATCTTCAGCTGTGTGTGCAGGTGGCCTCCAAGTACCATGAGCAGCTGGGTACACAGTCCCTTGTGGAGCTCTTTGAATCCTTCAAGAGTTATGAAGGTAAACTGCAGCTCCCCCACCTTGCTGCTGCACCTGCCTTCCTAGATGCTGCTAGCTGTTCAATCAAGGGAAGAATGTTACTACTGCATGCATATTACTGGATTTCAGCAACCCTTCAGGTGTTTCCACAGAAAGAAATCAGATTGGTGTGCATTGGGATGAGGAGACTTAGAATCTCCCAGTATCCCTGAAGTCTCTGTGAAGCTCTGTGTCTCTGCAGCACAGCCAGCACAGAATTTATTTCAAATCCTGTACTGTTTGTCCTGGGTACTATTGGGAGGGCCTAGTGCCTGATATGGGCAGACCTGAGAGGGCAGCTCCTTTGTTCTCTCCTGAGTGACAACACAGTGGAGGGGATGTCACTTTGTGGTATGTGTGCAGCAGTTATCTTTCTTTTTCTTCTGTCGGCATCACACCAGAAAGAGTGCTACAGGTAGAATGACTTTACTGGAGACAGATCTGTGCTACAGGTAGAATGACTTTACTGGAGACAGATCTGTTTTTGGGAGCCAGGGCAGAACTTCATGTGGATGAGGAGATGTGAGTGGCTATGGGTACTGGGATGTAGAGCAGGGTCATTGCAGCTTTGGCCATCAAAGGAGGGTGGGCAGAGTCATGGAGAAGGCAGGTAAATGTTAGGAGGGAAAACACAGAGCAATCTCTTTTTATAGGCCTCTTCTACTTCCTGGGCTCAATTGTGAACTTCAGCCAAGACCCAGATGTGCATCTGAAGTACATTCAGGCTGCCTGCAAGACAGGGCAAATCAAGGAGGTGGAGAGAATATGTCGTGAGAGCAGCTGCTATAACCCAGAGCGGGTGAAGAACTTCCTGAAGGTGCGTCCAGTAACACCTCCCTCCACAACTGCTCTCAGGTAGCAGAGGTGGGCATGCCATAGCCAATTGTCCTATGGGGCAGAAAGTGGAGTTTGTCCAGATTGTTTCCTGAGTCCTCACTGCAGAGCTCCTCCTGAGGTCTAAGGTTTTTAGAAGAAAATCGCAATTAGATAACCAAATTACTGAGTTTTTTGGGATCATTGAACAAAACTGTTTGCACTCTCACTGTTTGAAAGTCCACTTTATATGCTTCAATTTTGTAACTTGAACAACTATTTCTAAGATGAGAATATGTAATCTATTAACTAGTGATTTCTTACTGTTTATTTTTTAAATTTTGTATTACTTGTTAAAAAAAAGAAGAAGAAAATCGCATTGTAGAAAGAAGCATCAAGCTGTCTATACTCCTGTTATCCAGCATATGAGTGGAGGGATTTGTACAAATTTGGAGCATTACTGACAAATTTAGCAGAATTCTCTTTTTACTACTCAAACACTACTACCTTTCCCCACTTGTTTCCCAAAGCAAATACCGTACCCCCCCAAAGTGTTTGCCTTATCTGCCAGCCTCCACAGAATCCCTGTTGCATAGACAGTGCTTTCCTGTGTTGGGTTGTGATCCTAGGGCTGGCTCTGGGGCTTCTTTGCTATCTCACCTGTTCTGTGCATCCCAACCCTCAGGAGGCCAAGCTCACAGACCAGCTGCCCCTCATAATCGTGTGTGATCGCTTTGACTTTGTCCACGATCTCGTACTCTACTTATACCGCAACAACCTGCAGAAGTACATCGAGATTTATGTCCAGAAGGTACTGATGGAAGGGCCACTGTGGGCTTCCAGACTGGCACCTAACAGACTGCCTCTTCCTCCTGAATATTTGAGAGACTGTCACTTTGAAGGGCAATATATTAATCTTCTCAGAGTGCAAGAATAAAGTATCACAGACCATATGGCTTAAAGGACAGAAATTTATTTCTTGAAGTTCTCTAGGTTTGGCTTCTGGTAGGGCTTTTAGGCTTGTGAACAGCCAGCCTGGAACTAGGTCCTCAGATGGCCTTTCCTCCATGCACATACATTTCTTATAGGGACAGTAGGCCTATGGAATTACAGCCCCACTCTGAATGTTAGTTAAATCTTTGATGGCCCTGTCTTCAAATATTGTCTTACTGAGGATTGGGACTTTGACATATGAAGTTTGGTGAAAAACAGTTCAGTTCTAAACAGATTTCTGCCCACAATGTCCAAGTCTAAGGGTTCTTCTATCAATATCCTGCATCTGTGGTATTGAAGTTTCCACCTTGACTGTTCTAGGTTAACCCTAGCCGGCTCCCAGCTGTGGTTGGAGGACTGCTTGATGTGGATTGTTCTGAAGAAGTAATTAAAAACCTAATTGTTGTGGTAAGAGGACAGTTCTCTACTGATGAACTGGTGGCTGAAGTAGAAAAAAGAAACAGGTAAGGTATCCTTACCTCTTATCTCTGGATTCAAGTGTTTATTGTCTGTGTTTCTCTAAGAGTCTGTCAGCTGGGTCTCCAGGCTCTAGTGCTGTCTCTGTGCTGGTCTTTCACATATACATCATAGATCAAAGATCATCCTTAGATCAAGGAATGCTATTGGTGCCAAAGATCCTGGAGAAAAACAACAGTTGAAATCAATTTAGAACCCTTCTCTCTCTTGATCCCTGGAACAACCTAAATTTAATGGAGTGATATTTTGTTTCATTCATTTTAAGAATTACCTCACAAGCTAGATGTAGTGTGATGTACCTACAATTCCAGCTACTTGGGAGACTAAGACAGAAGGATCACATGTTTGAGGTCACCCTGGCCAACTTATCAAGACTGTCTCAAAATTAAATTTTAAAAAAATGTAAAACACTTGCCTAGTATGTTGGGACTCTGAATTTAATCTCTAATAATGCCAAAAAAATCAGCCTTTGGCACCTGGGGATTACCCTGGAGTTTGTAATGGTAGCTTTGAGACTTTTACATTGTTTGCTTCCTTTCAAAGGCTAAAGTTATTACTCTCCTGGTTGGAGTCCCGGATTCATGAAGGCTGTGAGGAGTCTGCCATCCACAATGCATTGGCCAAAATCTACATTGACAGCAACAACAACCCCGAGCGCTTCTTGAGAGAGAATGCCTACTATGACAGCAGCGTGGTGGGCCGGTATTGTGAGAAGCGAGACCCACATCTGGCCTGTGTTGCCTATGAGAGGGGGAAGTGTGACCTTGAGCTCATTAAGGTGGGCAGCAGATATGCTTACGTGCTTGACTGCCCATCTTGCTCTGGACTCATGGTACAAGCATCCAATGTATGCCTGTTGGGGCTGACTAGGTCTTTCTGTGTGCCCAGACGTGTCAGGACACAAAGTAGATTTCCATGCATTCAGTTGCTTTGTAATTCTGACACTTTTTTGTGACCTGCTTATGGCATGTTTGTATGTATTGTGTGTGGGGGCTGATCTGGACCTGATTCTGACCCATCCCCTCTCTGCTTATGTTCTCAATCGACAGTGGGGACTTGAGGGCAAAATTGAACTCTTTAGCCTGACCTAAGACCTCCACTGGGGACTCCCCTTCCCCACTTGACTCAGTCAGCTTCTTTCTTACTACCCCACCTAGAATGGTCTGCATTCCTCAACTCCTCGATGTCACGAAGGCCCCCCAAAAGACAACTCCTCATGTGCCCTCCCCATCGCTACTCCTTGCTGGCCTTGAAACATTTACCTACTCTCCTGTCAGTATCTTCCCAGGTTGGATCTGCATGTACATAATTATGTGTGTAGGTTGAGCCATGTGAACTTGAGCTTAATCATTGGAAGTAAAAATCCTGATATTTCAAATGGTTGAATCTTAATGTTTGTTGAACTGTAAGCTCCTTTTATATATTCACCTGTTTGTCCCTAGCACCTCAGAGCCCTTGGTAAATACTCAGCAGCCAGGAATGGCATGTGTTAGGTGTTCATGTGGAGAGTAAAAGATGGAAAAGAATTACCAGCTTCTCCTTCTACCGTAGTTTTCAGACAAAATAACCAGAGGGCTGAATGAATATGACCGCTCACCTGGCAGGCTCTGAAGTTTTTATAAAGCTGGTATTTCTTCCTTAGTTTGATACCACTAAGCCACTTCTTGGCTTAATTTGCCACCTTTTCATCAAAGCACAGTTTAATGACCTCTTCAAGTTCTTAGCACTCATCTGTGCTATGAGGCAGTATATTCTTTTGGTAAGACCAAGTTTACTGGGTAAGAGGTGCTTATTCAAGTCTTTTCTGTCCAAGAGAGGGCTGTGATGTGCAGTAGGCCCTGTGCCAATCTGCTTTTGCCTCCTGTTTTGCACACACAGATGGCCCATGTTACCTTTGCAGACACACAAATCACTCAACCCTGTATCTGGTACTCAATGGATATGATTCTTACCAACACTTAGCAAATGCCTCACACACTGCAACATCCTCATGGACAGCTGATGGCTTAAAGATATAATATTCAGTGACTGAAAGCACATTTTAAGTTTCATAGGCCTTGAAACATTGCAGTGTGTATGCTGTTTTATACCTGTTCAGGGCTATTTTGTTAACACTTTAGAGATAGTTTGGAGCTAACTACGTGTGAGTACTTAAACTAAAATTAAAAATTTAGTTCCCAAACACATCATGTTTTGTCTCCTCAAGAGCTTCCTGGGGCTGGTGGCAGTGACTCAGATAGCACAAGATGCACAATATTCCATTATCACGGAAGGATGACGATTATGATCCTGCAGACTTAGAAAGGGATATTTTGAGATAATTTGTCCCTGAAAAGTACAGTGCTTTTAACAGTGTGAGATGCTGTTTGTCACTTGTTAAAACCTAGACTCCAGCTATCTATACACATAGCAGGGAGCAGTTACCATTGCCATCATTGTCTGCTTGGAGTTACACACCAATGTGCTCATTTCAGGTTTGCAACGAGAACTCTCTGTTCAAAAGTGAGGCCCGCTACCTAGTTCGCAGGAAGGATCCTGAACTCTGGGCCCTTGTCCTTGAGGAGAGCAATCCATCTAGGAGACAGCTCATTGACCAGGTGAGGCACAGAAGGAGATGTATGTATGCCTGCATTGTGCCACTAATCCTCTTGTGGCTCAAGTAACTAGTGTGTTGTTACATTTAATTATCTTACAGCTATTACAGACCTTTCTTGCAGAAGTAGCTTGCCTAGAAATGGCTCAGTTGCCAAGGGTGTGCTGACGTGGAGTTGTTATTGGCTTAAGGAAGAGAGTTGGCCCTTACATCTAAAGCAGAGTTGGGCAGCCTCTTTTAAAGCAATACTTGATGATATGTCTGCATACTGGATTCTTAAGTGGCTTTTTTATCTTAGCTTCCTATTGACAGAAGTTAAGCAGCTCTCAACATGTCTCAGCCGACTTCCCTTATCTAGTCATCTCTTGTGACTGTCTAGCACTTCATTAGAGCTGAATGTAGTACTGGAACCAGGGTCATTATTAGATATGGCCATGCAGGTGGGAATCTGCTTCAGCTTCTTGGCAGGCTTCCTTCAGCTCTAGAAGAGGCCTTACCCTCTGTCACTCCCTCATAAATATTAGCAGACAGTGCCTCTATTCCTCTCAGCATAGTGCCCCAGACTGCTGGGCATACTGTTTAAGGATAGCCAAGACCAGTGTGGGAACAATACCCTGGTCCAACAAGTGGCTTCAGCATTGAGCACATGGTCAAATAAAGCCAGGATGCCTTGCCAACCTGCTGGGCAAATGCTTTATGCCCAAAGACTGAATTTCACCTTAATTTATAATGAATTTTACCTTCTTGATTTTTTTTTTTTTTTGGTACTGGGGATCGAACTCACGACCTTGTGCTTGCCAGGCAGCGCTTGTGCTTCTGAGCTATATCCCCAGCCCTATGCCATAATTTTTTTTTTTATCGGTACCAGGGATCGAACTCATGACTGCATGCTTGCAAGACAGGTGCTTATGCCGCTTAGCTAAATCCCTAGTCCCCTATGCCATAATTTTTAATAAACTTTTTGTTTTGAAATACTTTTAGATTTATAGAAGTTCATATTGTTTCCAATCTTTATTATATCAAATCAGAATTAAACATCTTGAAGATTGGCCTGAGGATTTAATAACAACCTTCACCCAAACCTAAAAATACTGAACAAAGGGCTAGAGACAGTCTGCTTAGATTTTCTAAGACTCTACCTCCAAGTTCACAGATAGCTGATATGTCCTGGTGTAGTCCAGCCATCAGATACATCCTATAGCTGACTTTGTATTGGTCCTTGAGGAGGGCAACTCTACCATTGCACTGAAGTGCAGCCAGTAGGAATTCTTGTCTCGTTTTTTTGTGTGGAGCTGCTGAGTTCGTCATTAAGTCTGCTCTAATTGATCATCTGTAGCCACCTCCTGGTGGGACACTCCATTACAGTCTCCCTCTGATTGGGAGCATACAACTCTGGCAGACTGCTTTCAGTGTCTGGAGTAGATCCTTAACACACTAAGTTTACTTAAAGAAAGCAGTGTCCTAGGGTTATCTTAGGTTGAGCATTCTGTGTCAACTAACAAAAGGTAGAACTTTAGTTATGCCCTTAAAGCAACCTTTGTATATATTGTGATTTTTTTTTCTTTTGAGACAGACTCACTGTATAGTTCAGGCTGGCCTCAAGCTCATTACATAGGCTAGATTATCTCAAACTAATGGCCGTCCTCCTGCCTTAGCCTTCCAAGTGCTGGGATTGCAGGTGTGCACCATCAAGCCTGGCTGTTTTTTGCAACATGGTTTAAATGTGTTGCCCAAGTTGGTCTCAAATTCTTAGGGTCAAGTCCACTCTGGGGTATGTGCAAGTCTCTTGTTTCAAAACAAACAAAAAGCTAAAGTCAAATTCCCAGACTCAAGAGATCTCTTATCCCGGCCTCCCAAATAGCTGTGACCATAAGTACATGCCACGACACCCGGCTCTGTATCTGCTCTAAGTAAAGGGCCAAGGATTTAGCTCAGTGATATAAGTGCCTGCCTGGCAAGCATGAGGTTGCAAGTTTGATCCCTGGTACCAAAAAAATAAAATTAAATAAAATTAAATAATAAATAAACTGCTCTAAGGGGTTTTTGTTGCCTGTGTTTGGTTGTTTTTGTTTTGGTTTTTTGGGGTTTTTTTTTTTTTTTGGTACTGGGGATCGAACTCATAACCTTGTGCATTCCAGATAGATGCTTGTGCTGCTGAGCTAAATCCCCAGTCCTTGGTTTTGGTTTTTTGAGACAGTCTTACTGTGTAGTTCAACCTGGCCTTGAACTCATGGTGATTCGCCTGTCTCAGCCTCCTGAGTGCTAGGATTACAGGGGTATGCTACCATATCTGACTCTAAGGTTTTTCTTTTTTGTTGTCTTTTTTTTTTTTTAGAACTGGGGATTGAACTCACAACCTCACACTTACCAGGCAGGCGCTTATGCCACTGAGCTAAATCCCATGCCCTGACTCTAAGGTTTTTAAACTGGTAGATTTTACTGTTAGATTACCAGAAAGTACATCTCCCCCTGTGGATCGACCTGGGGTATCTGATTGTTTAGCTGCTGTGTTGGTTCCTTCTCTCTAAGTCCTTGGCATGCTTGTCTTGATTATTATAAGCTGCACCA